GGGCAGGGGCTGTGCCCGCAACGAACTAGTTCACGGCACGGACAGAAGGGCCGAGTTCTTTTTCTCTGTGAACCGCTCACGTCTTCGTCGACGTAACGTTAATTCTTTTCGGATATGCAGTAATCCTGCTGAGGCATCTTTTCACCTCTTCTAGAGCCGCTAAGTTTCTTCTCTCACGTTGTTACGCGGGGTAGGGGCCGCAGGGAGTTTGGAGAGATACTGGGAATGTGATAACATGCACAATGTTCATGTCTTTAATAGAGCTCACCTCTTTAAAACAGGATTCAGCAACATTGGTCTAGATTGTCATGCTTATACTTGTTTTTTTACTCTAGAGCAAGACTTGCTGTTACTCCCTGACTGGAATGGAGATTTCTTCCCACCAGTTTCACCTCCTTGAGCAGCTAAACGAGCAACGGAAGCAAGACTTGTTCTGTGACTGCAATATCCTGGTCGAGGGAAAGGTCTTTAAAGCACATCGCAATGTGCTGTTTGCCAGCAGCGGCTATTTCAAAATGCTCCTTTCGCAGAGCTCGAAGGAGACGAGTCAGCCGACGACAGCTACTTTTGAGGTCTTCTCTCCAGAGACATTTATGGTTATCCTGGACTTCGTGTATTCGGGCATATTGTCTTTAACCGGTCAAAACGTGATCGAAGTCATGTCAGCTGCTAGCTATCTGCAGATGACAGATATTCTTAATGTCTGTAAGACCTTCATTAAGTCCTCGCTGGATATTAATGAAAAGGAAAAGGATCATTACCTCAGCCTTTCGGCCAAAAGCACAAACAGTGAACCTGCCCATCCCTCCCTTTATCGGTCAAGAAGGAAAGCAAAGAGCAACCCCAGGCGTTCCTATTCAGTCCCGGATGAAAAGACTAATACGGTGAATGAAAATTCCTGGGGTGGTTACAGCAGCTACCTGTCCTCACAGGTGATTCTTCAGCGGGCAGAAACACAGCTATCGAAAAAAGGCAGAAAACAGGGCTCAACGAGAAAGCGCCGAAAGCACCTCGGACTGTCACAGACCCGTGACTTTGTGCAGTGTAAATCGAACAAAGCTGAGCGGGCCAGCGGAGGTTGCAGTGCGTCAGATTCCAGCCACATCTCTCGGGTTGGAGAGGAGGTTGAATTTGATGCCGAGAATGACGTTGATCACGATGGTTACGGGTATAATCATGAATCAGAAGTGATACCGAAGAGGTGGTCTATTGCTCAGCTAGAACAAGAACTTTCAAGAACTCCTGAGTTCATGGAATTAAAAGCAGAGGAACTGTACACCTCGATGCCCACAATTTTAGGTGTAATGAGTAGTTGGAACGAAGGTAAAAAATGCATATGGTTTTGCAAAGTTTGTCTTTATTTGGAAGAATTCAGATGGTCTTTTGGAGAGAATTTGTATGGCTGCATGAAAATCAAAATGATGCCTAGAGTTGCAGATTATTTTCTTGATCTACTCGGTTATAGTGCCTAACAGAACGAGAGACTTTGAAGCCAGAACAGGGCATGAGAATTAGAATCGGAGAGCTTGACTCGGGTATTCTGTAAATTTAAAACAACGCATACCAGATTATTTGGACCCAAGTGGAATTCAATGAAGCCTCAAGAGCTGTAATTGACTTGGGGACCCGAAGGACTGAATTTCTCTTGTAAGGCCCCCAGTACCTGGCAGTAACAGAGGCATTCAACCGAAATCCAACCTAAGTCCTTCACAAGAGAAGGTCCTGTCACTGGCGGGATGCTGCATGTCCCTTAAGGTCTAAACCCAGCCCAAACTCCACGAGTGTTTGGCCACACTACATAAAGCATCTAAGCTCTTGATGGACTGATGGCATGTGCCTCAGATGGTGGAATAAAGTTGACAGGTGTATTCTTACGTGCATTCCTTTGGAAACTAATGTACCTACATTTTATTGTAACTGCATCAAGACGTTGGGCGTCCTAGTATATTACATAGAGATTATAAATGTCAATTATAAATGAACTGTTAGCTGATGGAAGAGGCAGATATGATGACTGTATATTATAGCTACGTATTTATGATCATCTGTATGTCTAAAAAATACCCCGAGTAAGAAAGAATACACTGTCAAATGCCCGTTTAACACATTGAATAAGAAATACTGGGTTTGGGGGTTATATTTTGGGATTTTTCCTATGTAGTGACAGACCAGAGGAAAAATGAACTGCTCCTTACTTAAGCTGAAAAATAATCAAACTACTAGATAAAGAAAGACTCCTGATATTTGACATTTTACCTGTATTTCTCTGTAACAGATGACCTACCTCGGATGCGATTCAAATGCCCCTTCTGTACGCACACAGTGAAGCGACGCGCAGACCTGAAGCGACATCTTCGGTGTCACACAGGGGAGCGACCGTACCCATGCGAAGCGTGTGGGAAAAGGTTCACCCGACTAGAGCATTTACGTAACCACTTCCAAACGGTACGCCATTTCAGTCGGAGATTCAGCCTGGAAAAAACCCACAAGGTGTCACTGGTACCAGCTGTCCAGTCATTTCCAGAACTAATACCAGAAAAGCTTCCTAGCTGCACATCAACTTTAATTATTCATCATTTAAATTGGCAAATTAGATTTTTAATTTCATTTTTTAGAATGATTCAGTGAATTTTCTTTTTCTAAAAAAAAAAAATTAAAAATCTGCTTTTGATGAACACTGACATTTTCAAATTTTAAATCTCTTTAGATACATCAAGCTGGCAAACTGATCTGCAGAAAATGCAAGCGTCACGTAACCGACCTAACAGGATGTGTTGTTCAGCAAGGAACAAGACGCTACAGACTGTGCCATAAGTGTCTAGCGGAAGCTAATTTTGACAGCATCCCTGACGATTTAGATGCAGAACATTCTCCTGTCTCCTGCACGGGAAACAAACGTTCCAAATGGGCTTTGGAGGAGGAACAGAAATCAGATGAAGAGACAATGGAGGAGGAACCGTATAATTTGGTTGTCCGACATGTTAATGATGATATTCCAGATGAGGTAGACGAAAAGGTGAAACCAAATCTTAGGTAGATATATTTGTGTATTTGTTACTGTTGTATTCAAGATTAAATTACTTGTGTCCTACCAACTAATGCTGGTTTATTACTTTCATTAAATATTGCTAAAATTCTATTATGAGAAGCAAAATACAGACTACGAACAAGTTGTTTTGTACTTAGAGACATGCAACAGTGTAACTACTTCTAAATATCATCCAGAAAGTACTTATTATCTGGAAACTATTTAGAAGAATGGGTTTATATTTCATCAAAGACTTGCTCAGAGCTCCTGTTCATAATGAAAGTGTGAACCATTTTACAGTTCTACAAAGATTCTATACTATATAGATTTTTAAAAAACAAATATTGATGATTTGCTTTGAAAAAGTCTTACTAAAGCAGCTAAGAAATGTAAAACACATTATTGTTGACACTGTAATTAACATGTATATACACCTCAGAAACTTCATAAGAAAGGAGTAAAGAAAACAAGTGGAATTCTTCCTGCTGAAGAACCTATTTATGAGAGCTTTGTTTTCTGAGTGAGCTTACTGCTTCTTATAGTTCAGAAAAGCATGAATAGTTTTAAAGAATACACACAGCCATACAGAGTAGAGTAACGAACAGAGCATCTGTAGTGCACTTGGCTGGTATGAGTTTGCCTTTTCAGATATGCCGTGTTTTTGTACTGTGAATTTTAAACAGAGATACACTAACATGGTTCCAAGGAAATAAAAGTGCAATCACTGGAAGTACAGTTGTCAGGTTTTTTCCATTTTTTTTCCAGGACTGGTGCAAGATTTGCTTAAACTCCTGTCTATCTTATGCTAAGATAATAAAGAGGACAAGTCCCTTTAATTTCAGTGGAACACTTGTGACTTAGATCATGGACCTACTTTAGAAAGGCTTTCCTGCTCGTATAAATTTAGGATGCTTAAGGCTGTTTGACAGCATAAAACCATCTGTTTATAAGACAATTTCCCTTAGAGTTTAAGCAACCTTTGTAATTTTGGAGTCTCTTCAGCTTTTTTAGTAATCGTATTTTTTTCCCCAGTCATTTGGATCAGAGAACCTCCACTTGCTAGAGAAACTGAAAATGCTCAGTACTAAAATGATAAAAAATATATATATATCTCAGAGAGAATGTATAGAAGAAACATTTTGACTGAGAGCAGAGAATGGCATTCACAGTAAGTACTCTTGATAAAGAGCCACTGTTTGGTCTCATGTCTCATTTTATGCTATGTTTCCTTTCCTGTTAGCAGAATCCGTAGCCTGAGGTTACTGCCAAGCAAGCAAAAATTCCCTGTAGAGAATTTGAGAATAGCCATATTGATTCACACCAAGGTTCTCCCTGTCTCCAATAGTTGCCGTGAACAGATACCTAGGGAAAAGTGAGAACAGGACAAGTCTGTGTAATAATTCCCTAATGCTCTCCCAAACTCTATAGACATTTTCAGTTTAGGGGATTTTCTTAACTTGGGATTTGTACATTTAGTAACCACCAATGCACGTCTTTTCCAAGTACTTCTCCACTCTACCCTTAAACTCATCTAAACTTCTTGCATCAATAGTAAGTATCCTTTGGCAAATGCCTCCACAAGTCTAGTGTGTCCTGTGAGTCCCATCTCCTCTGAATCCGGCTCGTAGAACAGCCACTACCCCGTCTAGCTGATCCCAGAGAGATGCACACGAACTCACTACAGAGCTTGCTCAACTAATGGCAAGAAAAGAAGGGTTTGCAGTTTAAGTAAGTTTTTGAATTGACCACTTCCAATTGTCTCGGTGGGCCCCAGCTCAGTGAGAGACTACAGCCAGCAATGGGGCTCCCGTAACGCAGCGGGAGAACAGGACTTCCTCCAGAGAACAGGCTGCTGGCTGAAACCTGTCACTCCCACAGCTCTGGAAATGGACCAAGGCGAGTTTAAGGCCTGTTTTATAAGTACTTAATAAATATTGAAAAAAAAAAAAATGACTAACACTTACTTACTTAATTCCAAATGTTTTCCTAGCAAGTTCCTCTCACCATTTCTAAAAGCAGAGCAGTTTACTGTGTTACTACAGCCTGTGACTGATGGTATGGACAGGGCATCTCGGCACTTCTACGAAGTTAAATTTTAACTACATAAAAGCCTCTGGAGGCTTTTGGAGGCCGGGCAAAAGGAAAGGACTCCCCAGGCGCCGTCCTTCAGCCCAGGCGCCCGCCTCCCCAACGCTCCCGGCTGCCTCCTCAAGCTCTGTGGAGAACAAAGCCGCCTCAACTCGACGCCTGATTGGCTAATCCCAGTCGCCTGACCCAACCAGCCAATGAGGTGTCAAAGCCGCTGCTGAGGGGCGGTAGCCGCGCTCTGCC